AGAGTGTGCCCTATGGGTCCTGTCCTAGCCCTGATTTCACAGCCATCTAGTAAACAAATTCCTGAAGAAACTCTCATCCGCCTCAGGTTCTGTATGCACCAGGAACTGGCTTCCAGCGGGTCCTCTATCTAGTCCAGGACCTAAGAAGGAAATGAAGCTTTGCTGCCCTCTGCTGACCAGAATATGAGTACACAAAGGACTAACACTCAGAAAGGGGGGACCCTGCAAAGTCACATTCACTCATTCTGCTCAGCCTGAGGGTCTAAAAAGATACAGCCACCTGAGCTCTGGAACCTGTCAAGATACCTGAGAATGACCACAAGTGTGCACTCTGGGTTTCCTGCATGCCAGCTCTGCAGCCACTTCACCCAGTCTAGAGCTCCTAACGACGTGCTCCCCACAACTCCGAGGGCCTTTGCGCCTAGCAGCACTCTGACCAAGGGCCACTGACAGTGCTGTTCACACACTTTTCACAGCCTTCATTCCAGGCACTCCTGCCCCCACCCTGGCTCTCCTCTGCCCCATCCTGCCCACCTCTAGGAGACAGAATTCAGAACCTAGAAGATAGTCTGGAAATGGATTGAGCTTACTTTCTGCAACAGTGAGGGGACAGAGAACCGGAAATCAAATTCAAAAATGTTCTTGTGGGCTGTCTCCTCCAGATAGCACGATATCAAGTTTTAGTGACATGCCCAAGGTCAGTAAAGGCAGATGGCAGACAGCGCATCACGACCATGCACTAGGTGGTGCCATGCCCAGGCTCACTGCACAGCTCCAGCTGACTAAAGAGCAGGTAACACACCATGTGAAGACAGGGTGGGAGGAAGATGCTCACTGGTGTCTGCCAGCCAAAAGAGCAGGCAGGGGAGCCATAAACCACTTCACATGGGGGTTCTGGATCCCACAGAAGACCCTTTAGCATACAGGACAAAGCTGGGTTTATTGGCTGGGGTTGGGGAGAGATCTCTGGATCAGCATCACCCCTCCTCCTTGGGCAGGAGGTAAAGACACACAGATCAGGAGTCCCACAGCACAGCAGCAGAGTCCAGCACCTCCCGGAGGCAGAGACCTTGCCTGTCACAGAAAGGCAAGCTCAGGGGAGCAGGAGAGGAACTGGCTGCTAAGACACCAATAGGAAGATGAGAGATGACTGCAGCAAAGCACTCAGAGACAAAGGAGCCACCTCCTCCTGGGGCTCCAAGCCTGTGCGCTGTAGGACAGCCTGTGAGCGCACATGGGGCATGGCAGTTGTCTATCCTCCTCGGGGCCACAGCAGTTGTAGCCACCTCAGCTCCTGGACCTGAAGTGTGGAATTATTTCTGACCCAGTCCTGGGCAAGAATGAGGCATGGGAAGGAGGTGCTGCAATGGCACAGACAGAAAAGCACCCACAAGGTATGGCTTGTACCTCTAAAACTAGTGGGTCCCGGGCAGACTGGGGAGCAGAAGTCCTGGGTGAAAGTGTACTGGGTGAAAGTGCACAGCCGTGTGAAGAACCCCAAGGCCCCAAGGCCTCGGACTATGGAAACAGCAAAGCCTTGCTCTGGTCCAGGCACGGTGTTTACCATGGATCAATGTGCAAACATACCAACTACAGCTTCCTCCTCCCAGATGACTGCAACTGGAGACTGCTCCCCTACACAGACCTCTTTTGCAGGCGAGTTTCAGGCTTGACACAAGCTAGAGTCACCAGAGAGGGAGTCTCAACTGAGAAAATGCCTCCATAAGATCAGGCTGTAGACAAGCCTGTAAGGCATTTTCTTAACTAGTAATTGATGGGGGAGATTCCAGCCCACTGTGAGTGGTGCCATCCCTGGGCTGGTGGTCCTGGGTTCTATAAGAAAGCAGACTGAGCAAGCCAAGAGGAACAAACCGGTAAGTAGCACTCCTCCACAGTCTCTGCATCAGCTCCTGCCTCCAGGTTTCTGCCTTGTGTGAGTTCCTCCCTGGTTTCTCTCAAAGACTGCGAGACGCAAGCCAAATACAACCCTCTCCTCCCCAAGTTGTTTTGGACATGGTGTTCCACCATCACAGCAATAAAAACCCTAAGACATTCCTGAGTTCCCAGACTGCCTGGGCCCTCCACCAGAGCAAGCACAGCCGCCAGAGGCCACCCACTCCAGCTTTTCCGTGTGTGTGTCTGTCCTTTCTTCATTCCTGTGTTGCCCGCCACATTTTCAGGATCAAGCCATGCAGTACACAGCAAGAGACTGAGTCAGGACTCAGCTCCCTTCGTGACCCAGGCCCACTCTGACACAAGTCAGAGCCCCCTCCAGCTGCCTAGTTCAGGGAACAAGGCAGCCAGGAACAGAAGTGTTCAGCACTGAGAACAGGAAAAGTACCAGTAGCCAGAAGATGCCTGTGGAGAGGGTCTGAGATGCAGACCTAGGACTCTGGGACACCAGGCTCTGCATGCCTCAGCCAGGTAGGAATAAGATAAAGGGCTGGGGATTTTCCTCCCTATGCACGGAGCTGTTCCCAAAGGGTCTACAAGTATGGCTGTGTCCAATGAGTGGCTGATCTTTTGTGCTACTGGGCAGAGACAGAGTCAAGTCTACCCTACTCCATTGGGACTCTGTGAGGCCTAACAGTCACCTATGTCTAGCCTAAGGTTAACTGAGGACAGGTGTGTAACAACTGGAGACAGGGAAGTTGGGGGCGGGGGGGCAAGAAGGTGGGGGGTGGTCAGAACACAGATGACACGCACACCACGGAAACTGCAAAGAAAAGTCCCTGGAGGTGTCTCAGAGACCACCTTTGGTCCCCAGGGATGAGTTCAGCATTCAGGATCACCTTCTCCTGGGACATCCTGTGTCCAAAACACATGCACTGAGACGGGCAAGAATCACAGGCATGGAGAACCAAGGCTACTACTCTCTGGCCAGAGCTACACATAACTCAGGCTGAGGAGCCTCCTACAGCCCCAAAACCCATCTCTGCCTCATACTAAAACTCTAGATCCTATGACCCTATGAAAGGAGAAGACATGGGAAATACACACAACTAAGGAGGCCAAAGGTCACTCTAGGAAGTGAGAGTTCAAATGTGATCCATTCCTTATTTAAGGTTTTATGTACATATATGGTTCTTTTTTTTTTTTTTTTTTGAGACAAGGTTTCTCTGTGTATCCCTGACTGTCCAGAAACTCGCTCTGTAGACCAGGCTGGCTCAAACTCACAGAGATCCACCCGCCTCTGTCTACTGAGTGCTGGAATTAAAGGCGTGCACCACCACCTAGTGGGTATACAGATTTTTAAAACATCATTATCTGAAGTATTCCATCAGGTATAGTTTCCAAATTCTTTCTAATTGTTAAGTAGTTAACCCTTTGAGAAAGCACTGCTATCAAGTGGGGGCAGTGAGAGTGACAGGTGGTCCAGGACCACCCAAACAACAGGGCTTGACAGAGATACTGACAGGAAAAGGACAAGACAGAGCTGAAGGAGGCGCTGCCGTGGCAAAGCCTGGTGGCTAACCATGTTCTGCAGTGTCCAGTTGGCAGGAAGGAGGTCCATGGCTCAGCTGAAGCCTAAGAACAACTCCCTGTCCCTAAGAAGGCCATAGCGACTCCTCGGGAGTTGTCTAGCTGGGTCACCTTGCTGGGCCTTCCTCAGGAAGGAGCAAGAAACCAGCGTTTGCCAAATGTCTGGACCTTTCTGGATACAGTAACCTCAGTCTCTATAAGGTGGGTCCGTCACCATTTTTATATGTTAAGTTAAGACTGCCAAGTGTCTCCTCTACCTGTGAGTGACCTAGACTGACTTGTGAAGAAGGTTCACTACTCTCTTGACCCAGAAACCCCTACAAAATCATGCAAATCAAGAAGTTCAAATCTTCGTATCCACTTTAAGAGCATCTGTGAAACAGCCTAGGCCATCAAAGGTCTGCATATTTGAAAACCACCGAATACCCGAGAGATGTCACCTATAAGAAGCAGTGTGTGGCGTTCAGGCAGTATGATGGCGGAGTCGGTAGGTGCACCCAAACAGTGGGGCTGGACACAGGGTTGTGGCAAAAAAAAAAAAAAAAAAAAAGCGCCAAGTTTTTGCTGCATATGCTTAAAAATGCAGAGAGCAGCGCTGGACTGAAGGGTTGAGATGTAGGTTCTCTGGTCATTGAACACACCCAGCGGAGGAGAGCACCTGAGATGCACCAACGACTTACAGAGTTCATTGGCAGACAAAACCATACATAAGCTCCTCCTGCCACACTGAGATGATCCTCATTGAAAAAGACCAAATTGTTCCAAAGCCAGAAGAGGGGGGTGCACAGAAGAAGGAAAGGGAGAAGGCTACCACAGAAGAAACTGAAGAAACAAAAATTTAAGCCACAGGAATAAATTCAGCATGAAATAAACAGATAAAAGTTAAAAAAAAAAAAAAGGAATGCCAATAGTAGGGCCAGACATGATGTCACACGCTTTTAATCCCAGCACTTGGGAAGCAGAGGCAGGTGGATCTCTGTGAATTCGAGACCAGCCTGGTCTACATAGTGAGTTCCAGGTCAGCCAGGTCTGGACAGAGGCAATCACAAAGCCTGCCTGTTTTCTGCCTCCTTGTTATTATATAAGCATAGCATCAATTTTGTAGGTAAGCTTACCTATTGCAAGAGTACTTAGGATGCATGCTGAGAATTTATGAGTGAATTGCCAGGCAGTCTGGTACCTGCTTCAAAAGTACTCGGTATATGAGTACCAAGGGTGGGCATTTGCCACATGGAACTTCTTTCTACTTAGTATATTTGAAATTCTTTTCTGTAAAAGAAACATCTCTTTTTGTTTTATTTTGAGGACAGGGTCTTTCTACATAGCCCTGTCTACCCCGGAACTCGATACATAGACCAGGCTGGCCTTGAATGCACAGAGATCTGCCTGCCTCTGCTTCTCAAGTGCTGGGATTAAGGTATTCGACACATCTGGCCTAAACATCGTTTTAAAAGCACAAGCTAGCCCACAGACAACAGTCAGGCTTCCCTCTCACCTCTCCAGAGGTAGTGACTCACCTTTCTTTAGGGACACCACACTCTTCTGGTCCAGCTCCAGCCTCTGCACCAAGGCACTAGGGTCTATCTGTGTCCTGGCAAAGATGTCATTGTGAACCAATGTCCAGTCCTGCAGTTCCAACAAGAGAAGAAAGAGGACAACACCAAGTTGGCCTTTAGTATCAGAGTCAAACAACGAGAAGATGCCAAGGCAAAAATCCTCTACTTCTCATCCAGAGAGGCCCTGGGAGAGTAGCTGTGTCCTTAATCCCAGATCAGGCCTGTGCCCAGACTGCTCCTTCCTTCCCCCATCAGACTTGGAACAATCAGAGCAGCTGGGTCCACCAGGAAGTAGAGCGCAGCTCCACCAACCCAGGGACTGAACACGGCCTCCATGCAAACATACGCGGACCCAGAAGCAGCTCTGAGGACCCTGAGCTCAGCCCTCCCAGGACTGAGGAAGGGGAACCTTCTACATCCTCTGCCACCTTTGAGGGTCAAAACAGGAATACCAGCCACATAGCCTTCCAGTAGAGAGGCAAAGACACGAATGGCCAAAGGAGCTTAAGAACAATCTCTGTCAACATGTGGCTTAAGATTGAGCCAAGCTACCAAATTAAAAGAAAAATGGGGAAAATAAGATATAGGAGGCTACAGGACAATGGGAGGATGTACAAGGAGATGGGAAGAACGCTCAAACAGTTTAGCCACATCCAAAAATAAAAGCTAAGTACAGTAAGGCCACAGCCTGGGCACAGAGAGTGTGACAAGCCAGCCTGAGCTATAGTGAGACCTTATCTCCAAAATAAAATAAAATAAATAACATAAAACAATGAAATAAAATAAAAATAAATAAAATACAAAAACCCCAAAGCAACAGCCAGCAATGGTAGACAGAGGTCAGCAATAGAACAATTGCTTAGGTTCAACTCCTAGTACAGAAAAATAAGCACTAATTTAAAAAATGAAGATGACATCCAAGCAAACAATATCAATGATGGGTACAACACTAACCTGCTTCCCACAAGCAAAAGTAAACTCGGAGGAGGAAAGGTCAATGTGGAAAATTCAATGGTACTTCTGTACACTAGTGATGTACAATCTGCCCCCAGGAAATATTCCATTTGCAGCAGCATCAAAAAATAACAAAATATTGCCAGCCAGTGGTGATGAACACCTTTAATCTATGCCTAAATCAATCAATCAATAAATAAGATATTAAAATACTAAGTCAGACATGAGCGGCCTGTGCTTGTAATTCCAGCACTTAAGAAGCAGAAGTTCAAGGTCACCCTTGGCTGAAGAGTGAGAGTTATGGGCCAACATAAGCTATAAGACCCTGAATCATAATAAATAAATAAATATATAAATAGTGCAATGTTTGCCAGGCAGTAGAGACACATGAACTGTAAAACCTTGAATCATGAATGAATGAATAAGTAAATAAATAAATAAGAATGCAATATTTGCCAAGCAGTAGTAGCACACGCCTTTAATCCTAGCACTCAGGCGGCAGAGGCAGGTGGATCCAAGTTTGAAGACAGCCTGGTTTACAGAGTAAGCTAGGACAGCTAGGGCTGCACAGAGAAACCCTGACTAAATATAGATAAATAAATAAATAAATAAAGTGCAGTGGGTAAAGTGTCTCCATCAAGGTTGATGAGTGAAGTTGAATCCCAGGACCCATGTGGTAGGATGAAACCGAACCCTACAAACTCTTTTCTTACTTCTGCATGCACACCATGGCATTCCTGTGTCCAAGCAAATGCACACAAAATAAAATACATAGCATTTAAGAATAAACAACAAAATTAGTACAAGAGTTGAATCATAAAAACTGCAAAGTATATTTAAAGGAAGAAATGGTAAGTTACCTTGTTTCCATGAACTGAAAGATCAATTATTCTTAAGAGGGCAATATCTTCTAAATTGTTCTAAATATTAACTAAAACTACCAAATGTCTAAATCAAGGAAGAAGGCTCAGCGGGTGAAGACCCTGTCCATCAAATTCTACCCCCGGAACTCACATGAAGGAGAGAACTGACTCTCATGAGCTGTCTGTACTCCACACACACATCTGGGCACACATGTCTCCACGTGCAGACACAGTAATATAAAAAAACTTCACACCAGATGTCTTTTGTGTGTGTGTGTGTGTGTGTGTGTGTGTGTGTGTGTGTGAAAACTGACTCGCTGATGCTAAAATCCATAAGGGAATGCAAAAGACCCAGTTGGAGACCCAGAAAAGGGTCTGAGGATCTACATTTCCAGACCTAAAGCTGACTCAGAACCGCTAAGTCAAGCTGTGTGTGATACTGGCATAAGGATTAATGGAACGAAACTGAGAGCTGAAGCCAAAACTCTAGAGCCAGATTTTGGCAAATACCAGCAACTCCCCTAAGTAGCTGGCACCCTCCAGGATTTACTTAACTCTTAAGAAATCTTATCTTGCTGGGCATGGTGGCGCGTGTCTTTAACTGAAGCATTTGGGAGGCAGAGGCAGGCTAACCTCTTCTGAGTTCAAGATCAGTCTGGTCTATATAGTGAGTTCAAGGACAGCCAGAACTACAGAGAGATCCTGTCTCAATAGGGAAAAAAAAAAAAAAAGGATGAGAAATGAGAAATGGATGGCTCAGTGATTAAGAGCACTTGCTGTTCTTGCAGAGGACCTATATTTGGTCCCTAGCACAGCCGTGGTGCCATACAATCATCCCTAACTCTAGTTCCAGGGGATTCACCCACACAAGCCCTCTTTAGCTTCTAACAGCGCCAGATACACATGGTAAATGCATACATGCACTCGAAACACACACATAAAGGGTTTTTAAAAAACTCATCTGTCACAATCACAAATGAGATTGTGTCGGCTTTACAAGTGCGTGACACATGGCACACAGTAAATGCTTGACAAGAATGCTTCAGAATAACTGATGGGAAGGCACTGGCCCCATGGTCTAACAATGGCCCCTCTGTTGCTCCTACGCAAACCAGAAAATATTGCCAAGGCAGCTGGAGGAGGAGCACCAGGCAAAAATTATGTGGATGTATCGTGCAACACTGACAAACTCTAACAATAGTGGGTTTCGAGAAAGAACCCAACACAAGAGACCACGATCTCCATTTACACAAACTGTCCACAGCAAAGGCCAAAAGTAGATTCTTGCTTGCAAGTGTGGGTGGATGAAGGCATGGACAACTGTAAAAAGAACAGCGCTTCTTTTCAAGTCACCTAACTTCAGGAACCTCCTCTTCTTTACTGAAAGCCCGGTGCATTTTAAAGAGCTAGCTAGCGTCCTCCAGCATTTCCAAAACGTAGAGGGGGGCTCTCCTCCACCAGTGGAGTGTTTCTGGAGCCCCACACTTCAACCAAGAGGGCACACGATGAAGGCACAACGGCTAAAGGTGGGACCGGGTCAGGACCCTAACTGGAACCCACACAGTGGGAGACGGCAACCCGGCCGTGTTGAACTCCGGTCCTGCAAGGCACCTGCTCTGCGAAAATTCCAGCCACGCAGGACCTTTGCTCTGCGGAGACGCCAGCCATGCAGGATCCCTGCTCTGAGGAGACCCCAGCCATGCAGGGGCCCTGCTCTGCAGAGACCCCAGACATGCAGAACCCTGCTCTGCGGAGACCCCAGACATGCAGGTCCCCTGCTCTGCGGAGACCCCAGACATGCAGGGCCCCTGCTCTGCGGGGACCCCAGCCATGCAGAACCACTGGTCTACGGAGATTCCGCTCAGTGGAGACCTGGCCCGGGCCGACCCACGCCCCGCACCTCACCTTTGCTCCCGCTCCGCCCGCCGAGACTTGTGGGACGGCCGGCTCCAGGGCGCGGGGCACAGGGCCGGGCGGAGCCTCCCCGTCGGGCCTCACGGCCGCCCGATGCACACGTGCCCGCAGCGCCCTCACTTTCCCCATCTTCACTGGAGGATTCCACGGGACAGTAACGCCGCCTCACTAGCAGAAGGGCCTCCCGGAAGTGCTCCCTGCGAGGCGGAAATAGAAGATCTAAGTTCCGCCGATCCCCGGAAGTACCGCCCGTCTTCTGTGCGCGGTGGCGGTGCTTACGGCCGAGTGCTACCGCTAGCGTGTTAGCCATGCGCCAACGTGGCTGCTGTAGGACCGTTGGTCTTGCAAAAAGCCAGGGAAATAAAAACGACAGAGGCCTCGGGTGCATACGACGAGAAACGGCATGTTTTTGTGGGGCTAGCCTGAGGCAGAGTAGGGAAACAGGTTCACGCCGGGGCCTTGGCCAAGTGGCCCATATTATTCATGCATGTTTCTGTTTGTTCAACATTGCGTTTCGTCCTCAAAACAGGTCCTGGGAGTTGGGCTTTTCTCGTCCACTTAAATGAGGACCAGGCAGCGAAAGACTTGGCGGCCTCCGTCCTCCCTCCTGCACAATCGGCTCCGTGCCCCTGTGCACCCAGCATGTATTGCTTAGGGAAAGCAGGGCAAGAGGGAGAAGCGAGTCCCACTGTTCACCCAGGTGACACCTGTAACAAGGCATGCTATGGTTGGGGCCACAAAGGAAAGCTGACCCAGGCGCAGCCGCCCTCGTACTTTCTACTATGGCAGAGGGCGTCCTGGGCTGTCCCTCGGGCCCCACGTGCCACCGTGGTTGTTGAACTGCTTAGGGGCACTCTTGTCCCAAATAGTGCTCTAGCCTGCAAGGGGGCGCCCATTAATTCTTTGGACTCCTGTACTCCTTTTCCTGTCGCTTGAGGGCACTCGTGTCCCGCTGGCCTGGCTCCTGCCAACCTGGGTTTCTGAGTAGAAAGGATTGCACTATTATCTCTGTAGCCCAACCCTCCAGGCCCAGTACTCGATCAAACTCCCGGCTCACCCTACTGAATTTACCCTAGAGGCTGGGTGTGGGTGAGAACCACTGCCTGCAGGCGCTTTCACTGGCACAGCTACTGGAGGTACACTGCCCTAGCACCTGACCGTGGGCACACAGCTGCCTAGCCAGCAGCCATCAGTGGAGTAACCTGGGTCCAGATCAGCTCCCCTGCCTTTATCCAAGTCATGGAGATAAAGTAATGCCCGGCTTGTCTCATGAAGAAGCGGTCCCTTGAGACTCCCAGGGAGGTGGCTGGCCTCCTTTTTTGCGGTTTTTTTTTTAAATTTTTATTTTTATTTTGCCTCAGGTGAGTTTGTCAAGGCCTGAGCTTCCCAAGCCTCAGTTTCCCTGCTTCTACAATGAGGGGGTGGGATAGGCTAGAGTGTTTGTGAACTGAGAGTAAAGCAAGAGGAAGTGCCTACTGGCAGCTTGTAGCTGGACCTCATGGTTTCCCAGGGTTGGGCAGAAAAGAGGCTGGTGACCCAATAGGGTGTTTGCCATGTGAAGGGCAAGTACCCAAGCCCAGTGCTAGCACAGGAACGCACAGCACTTCCGAGGCCCAGGACTTTCTGGTGGCTTGTGGAGGGCCGCAACCACATTCTCCATTACTTTAAGGGACAGAGGTAGTTGACCTCTGTGACTTCAAGGTGTGGTAGCACACACCTTTAATCCCAATGCCTGGGAGGCAGAGGTACGTTGACCTCTGAGACTTTAAGGGACAGAGGTAGTTGACCTCTGTGACTTCAGGGTGTGGCAGTACACACCTTTAATCCCAATGCCTGGGAGGCAGAGACACAGCTCTGTGAGTTCAAGGTGTTGTAGCACACGCCTTTAATCCCAGCATTGGGGAGGCAGAGACAGTGGGACTATAATGCGCATGTGCTTGGTAACTTTCCGCTGCTGCGTCCCTGCCTACTCCCGAGGCGTCATCTGGGTTGATGGGCAGCGGTCCAATCCAAGAGTGACACACCCGAAGTGAGGACTGTTTCCTATATAAGGGATGGGTTCCCCTCATTCTGGGTCTCTGCTTTGGAAGCTTATGCTCTCTCTCTCAAGACACATTAAAGCTTTTCTGCAGAAGGATCCTAAGTGTGCCGCGTCGTTCTTGCTGGCAAGACGGTAGCGCGGGAAAGTGGCTGAACTAGCAGTGCAGAGTCCTAAACCTGGCTCTGATCCTGTTTGCTAGGCAATGGGGCAACAAAGCCATCCCCACTCCTTCATATCTCCCTGGAGAGGGAGGCCTTGCTGACCAGCAAGGACACCTCCCACCCACCTCGGTCAACCTGTGAAGGACACAGCCACTTTCCAGCAGTCCCCTGAAGTGTGGTCAGAGGAGACCTGAGAAAGGTGTCCTTGGGTGTCCTCACGCTGTGCTGTGGCTTCCCACTGTTGTTCTGATGCCACTGATGCTGTGCACCCAGGCTAATTAGCCAGGGCCTGGTGCTATGGCCATAGAAAGGCCCTCTGGGTTGGTGTTACTTCTGCCCTGGTACCCTTTGACTTCTGGCTCTGTTGATGGCTTGCGGTGTCTTCAGTGTTCCTTTGGCCAGGTTATCTCCGTAACTGAGATGTTTCTGCAGCCTGGGGTCCTGAGACCAAGGCAGCCCCACACTTTTACACTCCAAGGGAGCAAGGGCTGGCAGTGGTCCAGGGTGTGTGTCCCCACCCGTCCTGTGGGAAACCCTGCAGTGGCACCCAGGGTGGGTCAGAGGAAGTGAGCTGGGAGACCCATGTCACAATTTAAAGTGCTGAAGACACAGGAGACCTGAGAGTCCCCTGGCATAAGAATCCTGATGCCCTTACCCTCGGGGGTCGGTTATAGGACTGGGCCATCCTTTCAACACTCTCTCCCCATTGAGTCAGACCGCTGAACAGGTAGAGCTGCTTTCAGTGGAGTTGACTTATAATAACCTCCTTACTTACTATAAAATGTTATCATAAACAAATTGAAAAGAAAAAAGAGTTAGCTTTAAAAAGTTGACACTTCTTGGATCCTATAGCCCAGAACTACAGTGTGACAACCATTTCAAGCAGCCCCGGCTGGCTCCTCCAGGGTCTGGGTGTCCATTCAGAGTTGATTACTGTCACCATTGCTGCTGTTTTTAGATCTTGACAAGTCAACACGGCCATTGTCCTTATTCTGTCTCTGAGCCCTAAGCTGGCCCAGCCAGAGAGACCACTACTACCAGTCTGTTTACTTGTTGTTTTGGTTTTTTGAGACAGTCTCTCTATGTAGCCCTGGAACACACTATATAGGCCAGGCTGGCCTTGAACTCACAGATCCCCCTGTCTCTGCCTCCAGAGTGCTGATATTAAAGACATGTACCATCACACCCAGCTCACCTACTGTTCCTTATACCCTATTTCGGGGGGAGGGGTGTTGATCAGTCCCTCTCAGAGCTAACCTTCTGCCTGCCTAACGCTACCTAGAGGGATGAAGGGGACTACTTGAAAGTGGAGGTGGTATTTGGATTGGACCTTTCAGTACCGAAAGGTGTAGGTGGGCAGGGGATGGGCTCAGGAACAATTCAGTGTGTTCAAAGACGTGAGAGGTAGCTAGGTTTGACAGAAGCCAGAGTGGTGTGTAGTGAGGGAGGGGGGGGTCTATATTCTGTAGGTCTCCTGGTGTCCAGAGCAGGGATAGTTTGAGAAACAGTCTCTCTATGGTGTTCATTGCTCCAGCTCTCAAGTTGCCCCTTCTTTGGGGGCAGTGAGCGGAGATGCTTCCCTGATCGAGGCCCTCAGACTTCAGGTCTTCCTCGATATTGCCCACAGCTTGTCCTCTTCCCTTGAAGAAGCCAAGATCGCACCGCTCTACATCCCCGGAGATTAGGGCTGAATAGTTTGATTCCTTCCATTACACTTAAGGAGGCTCACACAGATTCAGCAAAATTAGGAAGAATTGTCTGTACAAGTTCAAATGGAACCTAACGAACTATTCAGGGGCTAGGGAGGTCATGGACTAGAATAGAATCTACTACACCAACATAATTCTTTCCTATATCCTAAAACTTATCCTTATGCCCACAAGTGAGTGTAGCTCTCACCTTTCATGAGGGATTCTTATTCTTTACATACATATATATGTATGTGTCTATATATGTGTGTATAGCCAGGCAGTGGTGGCACAGGCCTTTAATCTCAGCACTTGGGAGGCAGAGGCAGGCAAATCTCTGTGAGTTCAAGGTCAGCCTGGTCTACAGAGCAAGTTCTAGGACAGCTAGGGCTAGTACACAGAGAAACCCTGTCAAAAAAAAAGCAAAACCAGAAAAAAGTCCAAAATATATATATGTGTGTGTATATATATATATATCTATATAATTGTATATATACACACACACACACACAAAGCAATAATTTAAAAAAGCTATCAATTTGAGAGGGAAAAATTGGGATGACTTGACAGTGATTGGAGGAAGGAAATGAAGTAATTAGATTTTAACTTAAAATATATTACACAAAATAATAATTATTGAGGGCTGGAGAGATGGTTCAGTGGTTAAGCGCAGTGGCTGTTCTTTCAGAGGTCCTGAGTTCAATTCCCAGCACCCACATGACAGCTCACAACTGTCTGTAACTCCAGCTCCAGAGGATCTGGCATCACACAGACATGTGTGCAGGCAAAACACCAATGCACATAAAAAATAAAAATAAATAAACCATTAAAAATGATCATTGTTTTTAAGTACAGATGAAGACTTTCACTGACTTTCACTCCACAAACAAAAACCAAAAGTGATTTCATCAGATTCCGCAATCACTGATCACTAGGACTGAATTTCATCCATACACACAGAGTGAGGGATGGTGCCTGGGACCTCATGCATCCCCTAAACACTCTCTACCCACTGAGTTGCCCTCTACTCCCCCGTTTTGATTGCTTACAGCCTCACATGTTCTGAGCATCTGTGCTGTGAGCCAGGCCTTTTGCAGGACCCTGTCACGTGCCCCCAGCTGTCCTCAAACACTGGCACTTAAGGGAAACTGAGGCTCAGAAAAGGAAAGACATGGAGAATCTTGAGGGTCTGACCACAGTTTGTAGGCCACACTGTACGCTGATGCTACAGCCAGTGTGACCCCTGACAGACAGAGAAGAGCAGAAAAAAAGGACCCAGAGGAACCTGAGTGCAGAAATCAGGGTGAGAACAC